ATAGTATGGGTACATCGACACCACTTGACCCTACACGTATTTGAACGAAGAGATGCAATTTTCGTATACTAATTATAATGTCCCATTAAGAGTATTAAATTATGATGGAGTTTAAGTCTCAATCTAGGGTCGAAAACGAGCATATTTAGCAAACTCATAAATATTTGTGTGTGCGTTCATTACTTGTAAGAAACAACGCATTATTCTTGCTTTACAAATTCTATCATAATTTAATATTAACCTTTCTTGTAAATAGCATGATAAGCAGTCAAAATTGTATACCCACCTGCCACACTTATTATTAATGCCCATTGCTTCCAACTAACAGGAGTGATAAATATAAAGGTAAAGGCTCCTCGTACATTAAGCGTATATGTTCGAACCGCGGCGGCTGGAGAGAATCTATAGTTAATTTTACTATTCTTGGCTTGTGAATGTGCAAAGGCAGAAACACAGATTGTAAATTATGATAATGTGATAAAAGCAATAGAAGCCAACCTTCTCTTTATGTGTTACTGAAATTAGCTTTTTGTGACACGTAAAATGCATGTAATATGTATAACCGTCACTGTAAACTGTCGGAGCTGCGCAAAAATATACAGTACGAATACTTTATCGCCATTTGCGGATTACGTCTAACGCGACTCAAAAAGCTTGCATGATTCAAGAATTGTACCAAGAATATTTAATAAAAATAGATCCTCAGTAAAAAAAAAAATAGCTTGACATGCATAGGTAAATGGTTACCTCCCACCAATTCTACATACTCACGAGTAGGTAGACCTCACGTAGTCATGATATTTTCATCAATACAATCAAATGACATCCATATCAAATTAAAATACCTGCAATTTGTGAGTTAGGGTTGTAATAAAAACTAATCGAGTTACCTGTTGTTGCTTAGACCGTCTATCGTGTAAAGGCACAAAGCATCACACGACGACCCCGGAGCATTTACATGCGGGAGCAAAATCAACCTGTAAATAAAACGTGTTATCATTATTATTATTGTAGCATATTTTGACAATTCACGAACAGCATTTTTCGCTACTTCCAAGTACGTGTAGTAATAATGCCATAAACTCCACCAGTAATATGTTGTTTGCAAGCACATAATAAACTTTGTTAGTTCACTCAGAACAAAAAGAGTGTTTAAGTTTTCAATGTTACACCAAGTTGTCCATTCTTGAATAACACACATCTTGATTTAAATTAAAGACACGATGTTGAATAAATTATTCAAAATACAAGATAATTATTCTTAGCATAGGTAAACACAAAAGCTTATACGTAACGCAAAAAGTACATTTTAAACTTGCGTTTGTGAACAGATATGCATGATGTCTGTTCAACTGAACGATAGTATCTGCTGATACCGAGTCACACACACCACATTAATCTGAAGTATGTCTTCAATCGAATAGTCAATTACGAAGTTTACTTGAGCGTTCATTAGCGGGTATGTAATATTCGTACCAAATTCCGATTAACATACTTTTATTCTGACAGGATATACAGCAGAATCTTCGATGTGATTGCACCGGACGCAAACAAGAGTTACACAAAAAAGAGGGTTGCCGATCTATTTAAGCGCAAATATTATTTGTCAAAGGCGTCATATTGTTGATAGGTGCAACCTGTCGTTGTTATTTTGCTGATATTGTACAGTAATTTTTTATAACATTTACTAGTGAAATTACTTAACATCACTCTCTGTAATTGCATCTAAGTTAAGCGGCTGTCCCAAGCATTATTGTCTAGCAATTTTCTCTACATTGCAAGACTCTTCTTCGTCATACGATATTAGCCTTATATTCACAGTACCAGAAAATTTTGTTTGACAATTTGAGAAACATTTTTGTTGATAAATTTATTGTATTTGGACAAGAAAAGTTATTATTGCAATAAACGCATATTTTTGCTCCTAAGGCGCCCAAATTTATGAGAAGCAATTATAACATTTAAAATATGTTTCGTTTGTTTTGTTTCAACTATTACACACGTTTTATTTGATCGTTGCAAACAACTTGTCTAAAATATGTACGTGCATGTAATGGACAAGATGCAATACTGTCTCATTATTTAATAGCTTACTAGCACCGCGTATAGATCCTGCTTTTATCTGTTTATGTATAAACGGGTAAACGTCGGGTTATTGAATAACTTAAATGTAAACACGCTATAATCGTTGTTTCGTAAATGTTTATTTTATTCGCAAACTGTTTATAGCCGATTATTTTTACACCAGTTAAATTTTGCATAGTAATAGTTTGAAAATGTTAAATATCAGCATTGTTGACCGGTATACGAGAAATCGGTACAACAATACTCCAAAGTCATAACCAAAAACCGTTTTTGAAAAAAAAGTATACCCAGGGCAGGAGATTGTACAAGATGGGTTGAATTTACATAACATTTATGAAATGTAATGACTTTTTAGGATATTCTCAACCACGTAGTAGTCGACCTTAAACAGTCAATCCTCATATTAAGCTCTTGGAATTGTGTTTCATCTACTTGTTACGTTTAAAGTACGTCAGTACAATGCACCTTCATCTAAACAAAATGTAGGTGATCATAGTTCTTGCCAAATAATTTTTTTATCGTTGACATGCCAAGAGATTAGATTGTGGTAGAAACAATAATATAAATATCATGATACTGAAAACGTTTAGTTTATGGTAACTTTCTATGTTGGAAAGTAAGTCTTCTAACTAATTGGAAATTAGAACGTCGGGAAGATGGCGCTAATTAGATCTTAATTGGTAAACATCAACAACGTAAAAATTAAGGAAGAGAGAGACATTATTATGAAGAACGCAGTATCACTGCAAAACTTCGATTTTATATACTAATAAATTTCATTTGGGTTAAATATACCCGATTCAAACAAAAAGGTTCTCAATAAACTTAGTAATAATTACACAGACAGGGCAGTTGTATTTACGCAATATGACTATGTGAACAGTCGGTGTAGCGATCCCAAGATATAATCACAATTATCATTTCCCGCATCAAAAAACATTTAGTAGAATGATTGCCTCCTCTACAGTAATTGGAGGACCCAAAAATAGCCTTCCTGTATTATTTCACAGTCACCTTGCACAAGGAGATAATATAGAAACTACAAATAACTGTTTCTCGAGCTATTATGGGTTTGAGCATGTAAGTATCCGATCTTTAAACTAATATCAAAACATAATTTAAGCCACTAGTATACTCCCTCACCAATGCAGCAGTAAAAGCGTACTTCGGGACTTGTATGAGCTTACTGATTTACAGTGCCGGAGGAGAGCTATAGCCGAGAGTACAATTTGTTACACAAATGTTGCACACTCTGATCGATTACGTAAGTTCAATCGGAAATGTGGAAAAGCAACATTACAATCACTACGAAACATGATTGCACCTATGGATACAATTGATTTATCTTCAAATCTTTCGTCCGATTACGAGAAGCTTTACAAAAATAACAAATATACAGATGTTTCGATCAATGTTGGCAGGGAGCCAAACAACAAAATCTTCCTTGCCCATTCTGCGGTATTGTGTACAAGAAGCACATATTTTGAGAAGATGATAGTTGAAGATACGGAAGAGTTTCAACGGACGGTTATGGTATTTGAAGATGTGACGTCTGAAATTTTTGAACTTTTGCTCGGGTAAATATTTACAAGCTAAAAGTTAGATAAGACAATCATTTACTTAGCTATTGTGTAATTGATAATTAACATTGACTGCTTATTATAGGTTTATTTACACAGGAAAGATAACTTACAGTTCAAGTGACGCTGTAGATTGGATCAGTCTTTTGAATGCCTCTTGCAAATTTGAATTGGACAACTTTGTTACTGCGATTGGAGACTATTTGATCACTCGCCAGAAAGAATGGATTAATCATAATGTTCTTGAACTCTACAAATGTGCCTTATCCTCGAATTTATTGAACAAAGTTCTGGATTATTGCAATAATGTTATGATATTATCACCAGAAATTATTTTCGAATCTGACGGTTTAATGAGTTTACCAAAAGAAACCTTGATTACTCTTCTCAAACATGATGAGCTTAACATGGGAGAAATTGACATCTGGTCATCAGTAATAGAATGGGCTACCAAGCAAGTTCCAGGGCTTGTAAATGAACCAAACAGTTGGTCAGTTAAAGATGTTACTACAGTCAAATCAATCATATCTGATTGTATTCCTCATATAAGATTTTTCAGCATTTCATCTGAAGAGTTTCAAGAGAAGGTTGTTCCTTATGACGAGTTATTAACAAAGGAGTTGCGACGGGATGTAATGTTTTATCATTTTAAGAAAGATTACCAACCAGAATTTACAGTTTTGCCACCAAGGAAAAGGCGGATTCTTACTGATAATGAAAGTGAGCAGCAGGGTTTCAACTTTATTAAACCCAGTAGTGGTAATCCCTCTTTGCTGAACCCTCTTGATTCTGGAAGTGTACACTCTACTGTCAACCTTTGCTCCTCTTGTCCCAACCTTAAACGGCAGATTGAAAAATTAGAAAGCCAATTGCAAAGTTTGACTGTTGAAAGTACTACCCTCAAAGGACAAATTGGAAATCTGCAAAACCAAGTACAAAATTTAATGATTGAAAACAATACCCTTAAACAACCCTGCCCTAATTGTCTATGTCAGTCATGCCGCCGAAAGTGGGTTTCTATTTTTCTTCAAAAACATTAGGAAAATATAAAAAATGTATTTTCAAAAGAAAATTATTTTTATAACACAACATTTTATTCTTTCACAAGAACTGCTGTCTTTTGTTTGTCTTTTTTTGGTACTTTTTGTATTTGTTTTTAGTTTTGACTAAATTTTTAAATTTACTTATTGAATTATTATCACATATTTTTTGCTATAGTATGTATGTCATCTACTTTATATTTATGTCAATAAAAAACAAATGTTAACTCAAAAACAATGATTGTAAGTGCAGCTACTGTACAATTAAATTATTAGAAATTTACAGAACGTATACTTAGACCCAAGTTACCCATTTTATAACAAGGAAGTAAGGCATGCCATATTTAATACTGTCATTTTCATATTCTGTATTTGAGTTGATGTGGCGGTCACATTTTGTTGAAAGACCAGAGTCGTGGTTGGAACCACTGTGGAAGATCTTCCATGGCAGAAGTAGAGTAACGAGTGGCAATGCAAAGACTGGATCAATGTTCTTGATGTCAATATGGCTTTTAGGTCTAATAATGGATTTAGATGACATCTCTAACAAACTACGCAAAGAAAGATGCTTTGCAAATATTTAATACCATAATTATATTGTTTATAAAAATTTTCACGTCCAGAATCTGGTCATCTACATTGAGTAAACATCACTTTGGTACACCAGGAACTGATTGACACAATTTGTTCACATAAAAAGTTAGGCAGTTTCTAAAAGATTCTTGATACTTTATTTTTAGATGTAAAATTTACTTGTTTCAGATTACGCAAACGCTCTAATTCTTTTTTACATCAATTTGACATGTAAACATATTGCATAAGCGTAATGTGTATAACTGTTACCGTAAACTGTCAGAGCTGTGCAGAATTGTTACGGTCGGCAATTGTTTGGTTGGGAGAGCCAATTAAATCTTTAATGTAGGCGTGTTCACCGACCAGGGAGTTGGTAATTTTAGACT